TGTATATTTGTAGAGGGCTGCAAAGCCTGAGACGTCCTGCACAGGTGACATTTTGAAAACACTTACTGAACCAAATGTGCTTTAAGAAACCAGGCCGAGAAAACAAAGATGGATTTGCTTCAGACAATAAATAAGCAGGAGACCGGCCTGCGTAAGGCTGTGTTGAACGGGTCACGCTCCAAGGCATGCTCACGAATCTCCTGCTACTTCAAGTGCACAGTGACAAGCTCAGGCCACAAGGAAATCACGATACGAGATCCAGCTAAAGGGCACAGGTCTCACACGGATCCCGTCCACACCTTCCTTATAATTGCTCTGGTATTTTAGCAGGCAAGCTGCAAGACTTTGGAAAAAAAAAAAAAGTACTTGTCACTAATGTATATAATTGAAGCAAATGATGACTTTCAAGTACAGGATGAAAAAAAAAAAAAAAGGATGGAAAGAAGACTTTTTACTAAGTGACCTTTTATCATTTTGTTTGGCATACTTTCGAAAAATGACCGACCAAGTGCCTCAGACTCTGAATCTGGGGCAGTCTGCACAGCCTGCTGCATCCCGTTCAGACCAGAGCACATGCTGTGAGGGGTGTCTCAAATATTGGCTCTAATTTAAAATGTCATTTCCTAAGAATGACAATAAGTTCATCATTGGCTTGATTTTCTAATGCATGTGTTGAAGTCGGCAAAGAAATCCTGTTCCCTGAAAATGAGCCCGCGGTCCTCGGCTTCCTGCAGCCGACACAGACCCCGTCCAGCCCAGGAGGCCCACGGCACGCGCCGTGTCCTCGCCTCTTTCCCCTCGGGCCTTGACCCCCGTCCAGTCCTGCACCACGTGTAACTCAATGTGCAGCCCCGGTGCGTGGAGCTGATCATTCTAAAGCGTTTGCCGGCTGGAATTACAGTGCGGCACCCACAACTCTAATGTTGTAAAGCTTCCTTTTTCCTTTTATTTTCTTTTATTTTTTATTTCTTAAGATGCTGGCTCGGCCGCTGCCTCGGGCCTCAGCCTTCCTCCCGGAACACGCCCTGCGACTCGCCGGGGACAGGAAAGCCACTTCCAGGCGTTCGCACCCTGCCAGGAACATACTAGGCTTCATAATAGAAGGACTGATTTGGAGATTTAAAAATAGATAAGTGGCTAAAATAATTCAAAGTCTATCTTAGTTTTAAAAGATTTCTTCAACTTTCGTGTTACCACCGGGACTCTGCCTGACGCCGGCGGCGGAGGCTCTGGGCAGACGCCAGGCCTCTGGGCGGTGACACTGCAGAGCCGGACCGTCTGTGCCCGCTTCCTGACCGAGCGCCTCGGCGGAGCCCCCAATCGCCCTGCCGCAGCCTCCCAGCTCGTCCCCGCTGGGGGTCCCAGAGGCTCTCCTGGGCCGTCGCTCCAGGCTGAGGTTAGCTTAAGGGCGCTGCCTTCAGGTCCCACTGGCCAAGGTTCGTGTTGGCCACTGCGTTCACGCCACCTCCCAGATGTTGTCGGCAGCGGCGACATGCCTTCCAGGGCCATCGTGGTCCCCGAGGCTGGAGTGGAGTGACGGCCCCTGCCCGGGTCTGGAGAACGCTCTCCGTCCTTCTCTGTCACAGAGCGTGCCTCCGGGAACGTGGTCGGTGCCCTGTGGCGTTGGGGGCAGGGAGCGAGGCGATGGAACACGACCCTGTCCGCGCCGGCAACCTCCCCAGCCTCCGGGGTGTCTGCGGACGGCCCCAAGGCTCACGGTGACTCCCTCTCAGCCGGGGGGGGCCTCCCCAGAGTCGCAGGGTGAAGTAAAGCCTGGTGCGCCCTCCCCCACGTCTAAACTCGAGTCATTCGAGAAATGGACAAAACTCAAATTTCCCTTCTCTCCCGTCTCCGTTCTGCGTGGATGGAGTCAGCGAGGCAGTCAGGTCCCGGAGGCGGCTCTGCGCGCTTCCGGCCGAAGCTAGAACGGCTTCGGGGCCAGAAAAAAATTCAGTTGCCAGGACAGCGCATCTCCACGCCTACATTTAAGATCGCCGCCCTTAACTCTCGTTGAGTTTAGTTTGTGCATCATGAGAACGTGTAACACTCTTCTACATACACATCATCAGAGCTGATGCTCTGCAGCTAAACGGAAGTTCTTTTAATGATTTCATCAGGTCAGGATAGCTTCTAAGGATATAACTTTTACCAACTTACCGAAATAAATAAACTATATAAAATCTTGATTTACATAGCAGTGTATGATATATCGATTGAGCTGAGAGTTACGTTTTATAAGAAAACTTTCCAAGGACCAGATTAAAAGTTATTTTCATACGCATTCGAATTAAAGAAAAAGAAATGGTATATTTGTAGAGGGCTGCAAAGCCTGAGACGTCCTGCACAGGTGACATTTTGAACACACTTACTGAACCAAATGTGCT